TACCCATGCAAAAGGCAGTAAATTTCCATGTACTGAACACCCGTACGTATAAACTTATCTTACACTGAAACAGCTAGCCTGACCAATGGGAAGGAAGGGTAAACAGACGCCACGTTGATAGCACGTGTGACACATGACACAATAATTATCTCTTTTGAAGTTTAAACGGCCGGCGTCCTATATATGTATGGTATTTAAGGCAGAAGGATTATGGTGTGAATAACCACTTGCACTTCTCTACTTTCTCTGTTCGATGTAAATACTGAAACCATTTTTGGATGATCCACACACACACATTTCAACTCTTACAATCCCAGTCTTAATAAAGAACACAATGGTATGTTGTGATAGTGCTGGGGAGTGGCGGGATATAAATAGAAATCCTTCATTCAGACACAAAGTTTAAGCTACGTTCCCCTTTGTAACAATGCAATGTACGAAATTTTAGTGAATGCGCATCAATAAGAGTGCAGGAAACACGCGTGAGATCCACTGTTATAGGTGGACATACCACGAACCTCAGCCGGACTTCATCATGGACTGGACAGATATATAGTAAGACATGCCGTGAGGAGGTACAATTCGAAGAAGAAGCTACGTACCGTTTTTAGTGAATATGAACGTTGCACACAAGATCAGATATAGTCATTACGGCACCGAGACTCGTTATAGAATTATGACAGGCTTATTTTCCAGAAATCAGAGACCCTGTACTGTGGTGTGTACTATAGCCTGCGGATATATGGGTGAGTGTATTTATACATGTGCCAAAGGATGCCGTGTCGCGCCAGTGTAACGATCTCTCCACTAAAGAGTGCACACCTAATACTCAATCATTATGTTCTCAATGTAGGCAACTTCCCGAAGTCCACACACAGCTCTTCCTTTTCAAGAATAGAAGAAGCTCTGCCTGGGTGGGATTGCAACCACGACACTCTGCAGTCGCTAGCGAGTGCTCTCAACCAACTGAGCTACGCATGGGCACTCAGCTGTAGGGGTCGAATCTACACACAACACAAAGCCACCTCAAACCATGGTCATACACAGAGCATGCGCAGTGATGTCCCCATCGCGCACGGCTGTAGAAAGCTAAAATGTTGGCGGGTATTAGGTACTAAAGTAATATACGCATTCACACTTACACTGTAAGGAAAATCTGTGCTACTGCACAGGACTACGGAGACTACTGAGTCGCACGGGTTCATAAAGAATCACGAGAAAGTGAGTACTTACGACCTCTGCCCCGCTCAAAACTTACGGCTCTGCGCACATTACTCTCAATTACTCTCCCTCCATGTGGTAATTGTATGTATGTATGTACATAACACTATGGTAGCGACAATTAGTGAACTCTCTCACCACCCCAACAAGGGGTTCGTGGATGCAAGAAAATAGTCTGTAGTTCCAATAATGTTACGCCTACCAGTACTTATGTACATACATACTACACTACTACTGTAGGGAAGGAGGTGAATGTGGGAGGCGATAAGGTTTAGGGGGGGAGAGAATTCTTCCGTTCCCAGTGACATGAACGGGCACTTTGCGGGCAAAAAAAAAACATGGAAGGAAATGTGGATAATTGCTTAGGTCCTGTTGCAGTAGAACAGACTTACAGTGTAAGTGTGACTGTGCGGTGGGATTACAGTATCGAATTACTAGCCGCTAGCCGGGGGGAATCACGTAGCGCAGTCTCTGCTGTATTACATGGTTGAGGTGTGCCTTTGTGGTGTTAGTAGTTGTAGATTCGAAACCCCTACCAAGCTGAGTCTGCCCTATGGGATCTCACGTTGGTAGAGCACTCGCCTAGACTGGGCTGCAGAGCTGGGTCAGTATAGTTTGCAATCAAAACCACCAGGGCGAGAGATCTATCTTCTATTCAATATGAAAAGGAAGTAGCTGTCTGTGTGGCGACTTTCGGGGAAGAAGAGCGACCTACATTGAGAACCATAATTGATTGATTAGTGTGTGTGCACATGGAGAGATACGTACTACACTGGGTTTACGGCATCTTTTGGAACATGTATAAATACACCATAATGCAGGCTATAGTACACACCACAGTTTTACAAGGTCGCTCTGATTTTCTGGAAAATCAGCCTGTCATAATATAACGATTCTCTGTGCCGTAATGACTATATATGATCTTGTGTGCTCAAGTTCATATCACTAAACGATCATGTCGTAGTCTTTCTCTTCGAATTGTACCTCCTAATCTGCAGTGCTGCTTACTATAATCTTCGTGCCATGATGAAGTCCGGCTGAGGTTCGACGTCACCTAAAGTGACTCAGCGGTTGCACTCTATTGATGCGCACTCACTAAAATTCCGTACATTGCATTGTTAAAAGGGAACGGGCTTACTTTGTCGTCTGACTGACGGCTCTATTTATATCCCGCCACTAGCACTATCATCAGGACATACCATTGTGTTCTGTAAGACTGGATGTAAGAGTTGACGTGCGTGTGTGTGATCATCCAACAAATGGTGTCAGTATTTACATCGAACAGAGAAGTAGAGAAGGTGCAAGTGGTTATTCACACATATATCTTCTGCACTTAAACTACCATACATATATAGGAGCGTTTAACTCAAGAGATCATAGTCATGTGTCATGTGTCACACGTGAGTTCAACGTGGCAGTCTGTTTACCTTTCGCTTCCCATTTGGTCAGGCTAGGCGGTTTCTTCGTTGTAAGCTAAGTTTATACGTACGGGTGATACAGTACATGGAAATTTACTGCCTTTGCATGGTATAGCACAGTACATAATATGTGAGTCACGAGTTACTTACACGTGTGTCCATATAATGAGCAGTAATGACGAAGCTTGACGAGTTAACTTTACACGTGTGTCCATAATAATAGCTGCTAATGAGTTAACATTACACATGTGTTCATACAGTGCCATAAACCGTTGAAAGGTTGCGTCTCCTCTTAATACAATTACAACACGTAACACATGGAATGGTGTGTGCCTTGTGTAGTGTTCCACGTGACTTTGAACATAAGGATATCCACCAATGGTTGAATAATTGCCTCAAAGTCAGGTCCAATTCAATCCTTGCTCCACGCAGTGTTTATTCCATAACCATTCCATATCATGCTGTTACCTACAATTTTTCCAGTGAAAGTGATAATTACCGCTAATGGTACCGCTAATGGATGGGCTGGGCTATTGGCGTTTACTCGCGGTCTCCCGCTAGTAGCTTGCGGATAGTCTGACACGGGCTAGCTACAGTAGTAGATACGTAGCATGCGGTATGCGGTGTGATACACACCCTTCGCTGTGGCTTCATGTGCCTCCAAGGTACACAGAGCAAGCGGATCTGGTCGAGGTGAGCCAGCATACTGCGTCGATCGCGTCTAATACACGCATGTGCGCACCGCTTATTGATGGTTGGGCCACGCAACGCTGTCCGCGACCGTGTCAGTTTGTCGCTCTCGAATGCAGTCATTTCAGCAAAATCGCCATTTTACTTTTCTAGCCCATGTACCGCTGAAGCTGTTGGTATCGCTCATAAGCCGCCTCGTAGCCTGTAGTACAAGAATAGTCGTAGACAGACAGATACACACACAGACACACAGAACGACTACCGTAACCCTCGCTGCGCATGCCCGCCGAGGGTTAACTATAGAATAGTGTGCCTTGTGTAGTGTTTAACATGACTGACTTCCAAGATATTTACCTATGGTTTCATAATTGCCCCAAAATCAGTTCCAATCCATGCTCCACACACAATTTCTTCCACATTTGTTTAACCCTTTCCATATCACGCTCTTACCTACCATTTTTCTCGATTAGCAAGTGGAAGTGAGTCTACTTAGTCATCTGAATGCGGGAATTTTTCTAACCCTGTCACCATACCGTAATACACTGAAATATACACGTGTAATGCCACAGCTCGTATTCACTGGGCAAAATGAGTTGCATTGTTCATTATGGCAAAAACTCGTACCCACCATTTGTCTTGCCACAAACTGTTTTTCTCGATTTATTCATCAAGGTTTTTAATGAAAAGGATACATATTTCATACAAACACTTTCAAAGTAACTGCTCAGTTTTAGCTTATACACCCACTTATACATAAGCAGCTGATTTTCTTCTATTAGCTTTTAAATACTTACTAATACTGTTACTGTGCAAGCCATGATAGTGATGCCCGCCTCCATACATACATATGAACCCCTGTGTTGTGTAAGGGCTGTTGGAACCTCATCCAACAACATAGAGCTCTTTAGAGGATGCCCCCCATGCCTCTACAGAAGTGCTGTTGTTAGGGATTCAAAACGGCAGCCTTACAGTGGAACAGTATCCATTTACTGGACAAAGCAAGCCATTGTATTGTGTCCCTGACCCATTTTATATACAGTGTACATGTACAATAGACTTACGTAATGTGTAACTCACATACATACATACATACAGCTCCCCCATGTGCAGTGCTTCTGTATACACTGTTTTACAAAGCTGAGCATGCACATGTTACTATATACCGAATGTAGTCATCATGCCTGCAACCTTATATCTGCCCTCAATTCGGTATAAAATAAGCTGCCAGCGTTGTTAGCCTAGCACCTGGTGGCTTGCGGTCACAAATAATTTGCTGTGTTGGTACAACGTGGATGTCCAATTAATAGACTCTGCGCTGCACTGTTGTGCTCTGGAGTATATACAGTGAAAGTCAGTATTTACCGATCAGTTTCCTGTGCCTTTTGACGTTGGCTTCTTGTGGGGGGGAATCCTGAAGACTGTACATACGTACTACAGAGTGTAGAATCGGCAACAGTCGGAGTCTGCAATAAAAGAGAAAACTCTGCAAGGCTCTCTCTCGTTTTTGGATCAGTGACTTGTATATAAGTTGGTGTGATCGAGAAGAACGGAATTAGAGCTACGTTCTTCTGTCACGAAATCAAGGCTGCAGTTGTCAGTGACGTGAGCAGAATAAGCTGCAATAGTATAGTAACAAGTGATATCTTCTGCAAGGAACAACTTACTTTTCTGCTGCTTCAGACGATTATCAAAGACGAAAAATAATACGAGTTAGAGCTGCATTCTGGTGCCATCTTCTTCCAGCATTTCTCCCAATCCTTGCCTAAAGGAGACGTGATCGTAAAACAACAATAAACCCCTTCCAAATTTTTTCCTCCATTTTTTTTACTACGATCAACACGTTCCAAATTGCTTGAACAACCTTTTGCTGCTCCGGTCATAAAGGCTAAAGTGCAGCTAATGGCAGTCAGTGGTACTAGTAGTTCGTCGACTCCAGCATCGCAAGCAAGGTTTGATGTGAGATTCATGACTATGCCACCTGAGGACTGCACCTGTCCGATATGTCTGTCGGTGATGAATGACCCCCACCTGACCTCCTGCTGTGGCCAGCACTACTGCCACTCCTGCATTGCCCGCATTAAGGTAACTTTCTCCATAATTATGATGCTGCAGTTATACAAACAATAGCGTTACGTACTGTATTACATGTGTGATGTAAGCGTGCGTGAGTGCTCAGAATGGTGAAAAGTGCAGAGAGAGAAAGAGAGAGAGAAAGGTAGAAAGAAAAGAAAATCTTCTCTACGAGTGGGATTCGAACTCTTGCTGCATGTATATACATGTAGTATACTATACCCACAAAGGTCAGAGTTGCTGCTTGCTCCCCTTTGTGTAGTACATCATGTATGTACGTAGCACCTATCACAAATGGAGCCCAGCTGAAGTGTACATAATCTAGTGTTTATTACTGGGTCGGTGATGTACAATATGTGACCATTAACTGTAATTATCAACCAATCCAGGACATGAACCAACCGTGCCCAATTTGCAAAGTGGACGATTTCTCCACGCTGTTCGACAGGCAACTCCGCAACCGGATATTTGCTCTGGACGTGTACTGCCCGATGGAGGGGCGGGGCTGCAAATGGCAGGGGAAATACGAAGACATCAAGCTGCATCTCAACGTTGGTGAAGTGGAGGGGGACTGCCAGTACATTCTGGTGGCGTGTCCGTTTGTCTGTGAAGAGTCTTTTCTGCGACGTAAGCTGAGGAAACACATGACGCGGGAATGTCCGAAACGACACAATCAGTGCACCGTGTGCCACGGGTGTGCGTCTAGCAGCGGGTCGCACACCCCCGACTGTCCGAATCGTACTGTGGATTGTCCCAACGGCTGCCCGATCCCCTACATACAGTTCTGCAAATTGGACCAACACGTCAACGAACTGTGCCCCTATCGACAGGTCGAGTGCAAGTTCTTTCAGTTCGGTTGTCGGAGCGTCTTTAAGTTTAGGGACGGTCCGCGTCATTGCGTAGACAAAACCTCCGACCACCTCGAGCTACTGCGAGTGTTTGCCACGAACCAAACCGGCCTGGAAGAGGGGTACATGCTACTCGTGCAGCGTAACTCGGCACTCGAGGACGAGCACCAGGCACTGAAGGAGAAATTTGTTCTGCTGGAGTCGAGGTGTGAGCAGTACGAGTCCTCCATCGTCGAGCTTCGCGAGGCAGTCCAATCACTGAGGGTATCGCGGGGCCGTCCTCCCCCAGTTGCCCCGAGGGTACGCGATACGTGGGTGGGGTTTTCTGATTACCATGACTCCGCCCACTCGAGACCGCCGGCTCCACTCCCCTCGCAGGACGGTGCCTCGGAGACGGATAAAGATCCATTCTGTTTCAGACCTTGACTCACCGCAGCTTCTGCTTGTGTGTTGTGGTTTTCTGTGTTTTCTGTGAAGTCACAAGAATGCAATTGCAGTTTCAATTACAGTTTCTTGGTTTCTTTTAGAATGTATATACAAAGCTATTTATTGCGTGTATTAAAATGTGTGTACTTTGGTATGTGTGTTCCAATATGTACATGTAAAATAACAGCTCACGCTTTACTTACATATTATATAGAAAGAAGGAAGAGAAAGAAGTGTGAGAAGGGCTGCTGCACAACATGCACAACTACTGGTAGTTGAGAGGGATGGTACCGTACTATTTGTACATGCACAACTACTGGTAGTTGAGAGAGACGATACCGTACTGTTTGTACATGCACAACTACCGGTAGTTGAGAGAGACGATACCGTACTGTTTGTACATGCACAACTACTGGTAGTTGAGAGGGATGGTACCGTACTGTTTGTACATGCACAACTACTCAGTAGTTGAGAGAGAGGCGATACCGTACTGTTTGTACATGCACAACTACTGGTAGTTGAGAGAGATGATACCGTACTGTTTGTACATGCACAACTACTGGTAGTTGAGAGAGACGATACCGTACTGTTTGTACATGCACAACTACCGGTAGTTGAGAGAGAGGCGATACCGTACTGTTTGTACATGCACAGTTACTGGTAGTTGAGAGAGACGATACCGTACTGTTTGTACATGCACAACTACTGGTAGTTGAGAGAGACGATACCGTACTGTTTGTACATGCACAACTACTGGTAGTTGAGAGAGCCGATACCGTACTGTTTGTACATGCACAACTACTGGTAGTTGAGAGAGACGATACCGTACTGTTTGTACATGCACAACTACTGGTAGTTGAGAGAGACGATACCGTACTGTTTGTACATGCACAACTATTGGTAGTTGAGAGAGACGATACCGTACTGTTTGTACATGCACAACTACTGGTAGTTGAGAGAGACGATACCGTACTGTTTGTACATGCACAACTACTGGTAGTTGAGAGAGGTGATACCGTACTGTTTGTACATGCACAACTACTGGTAGTTGAGAGAGGTGATACCGTACTGTTTGTACATGCACAGTTACTGGTAGTTGAGAGAGCCGATACCGTACTGTTTGTACATGCACAACTACCGGTAGTTGAGAGAGACGACACCGTACTGTTTGTACATGCACAACTACTGGTAGTTGAGAGAGATGATACCGTACTGTTTGTATATACATGCTATCAGGAGTGCAACCTTCATGATAATAATTGTGTGGGTTTCTGTATATTCAGTGTACATAATATGACTGTAAACAGTTTTGCACATACCGTAATGTTTTGCATACCTCTAAATATGCAAAATGGAATTGAAATTTCGCAATTGTTAATGCCGTGAGTTACTCTCTTGCCGGCTCACCAAAGTGTGTTGTAGAAATAACACTTAAACAGACGCCATAGTACCAGGGCCATTGGCCACGCTGCCAGAACACTAGGTGGAGCTAATGCACAGGAGTAACCCTCTTGTAGAGTGTTAGATTCCCTTGAAAGTGAAAAAAAATTTTCTCGCTTCCGTTTGATGCAAGAGGTGTGTGCATTTCTCAAACACGATGCATGTAATATGTACGTACGTAGGTGTACACAGCAATGCCTTGTGGTGATGAATCTCATTAGTTCAAAACCACAAGTGCTGCGCTCATGGCAGCCTTTATAAACTCGTGATGCCAGAGAGAGAAGTTGCGGTATGCTCTGCTGATGAGGGCCAACAAGCCCCGAAACAGCTCTCCAGAGCTCCGCATCTTTTTTCTCTTGGCATCACATGGTATTTTCTCAAACGTGATGCATGTAATATAATATACGTAGATGTACATGGACATATTGTCTTGGTATGTGTTCTCTCACTGAGTGACTGTGTGTGTGTGTGTCTGTCTGTCTTGCAGGTGATACTACAGATGGAGAACACCATGTTCAACATGATTGCCGCCATTCTTCAGAATGGAGTGATGGGTATGTCTTAGTTTCCAGTAGTCTCGTGCACAGACTCCACCCACTCATCACGTGGGAATAGGGTCTGGTAACTATTGACACATTTCCCCCTTTTTAAGTTTGTATCCACCTTAATCATTAATCAAGTGCATTAGTGAAGATGAGCCGGGCATTGATGTCTCTCTCTCTCTCTCTCTCTCTGATCTGTCACTGACTAGATTTCTATGAGGAGATGCTGTCGCTGATGGACCTGTTCACTACGTCCTCTGTCTCTCCTCAAATGTGGCAACTCCTCCCCATCATCTACGACACCTTCTGCAGAGACGGATTCGACTTCTTCTCAGGTCCCCCCACTCTTACTTCCTTCCTTCCTCGAGATATTTTACTGCTTGTACTTGATGATTTCCCTCCGTCCAGAGATGATGGGAGTTATCTATAACTACGTGAGAGTGGATACAGACGTGTTTCTCTCCAACCCAAAACACCTGGAGATTGTTGTCACCATGTGCAAAAAGGTACGTATGTACGTACAAGTAAATCTACCACACAATTTTGGAGAGGGAGGTTATAAGAGATGGACACTGGTGTACGTATAAGGCACAGAAGCTTGTTGCTGTACTTTGCCTGCAGAAAGAAAGAAGAACATGGCTTGTTCACACGCTCTCTCCCTCTGCCCTAAAATTTAACAAGTGACCGTTGAACGAGGGTTGTACTGTACCGACAGTGAGAGCCAAGGGTACAAGGCCACATAGAACTTTAAACTATTGCCTTTCCCCCACCCTCTTATCCCGGTTACGTATTTTCCTTCCAAGTTTCAACAGCCCCCCACTCTAATACATTTGCGTTTACCTCTGAATAAGGGACACCTCTGGACAAGTCCTCGAGGTCTTTCCACTATACACCCAGGACAACTCTTCTTTTCTGTTATACCTATAGTGTGTGGAACCTCCGAACAAGGGACACTATGGGGCCAACGATTTTGTCCCTTGTAGAGAGGTCGTCCCTATCCCGGAGGTCAAATAATACACTAAAGTGTTGGCTTGGGGTTGAAACAAGTGTCCTTTGTAGAGAGGTCGTCCCCATCTCGGAGGTCAAATAATACACTAAAGTGTTGGCTTGGGGTTGAAACAAGTGTCCTTTGTAGAGAGGTCGTCCCTATCTCGGAGGTCAAATAATACACTAAAGTATTAGCATGGGGTTGAAACAAGTGTCCTTTGTAGAGAGGTCGTCCCCATCTCGGAGGTCAAATAATACACTAAAGTGTTGGCTTGGGGTTGAAACAAGTGTCCTTTGTAGAGAGGTCGTCCCTATCTCGGAGGTCAAATAATACACTAAAGTATTAGCATGGGGTTGAAACAAGTGTCCTTTGTAGAGAGGTCGTCCCTATCTCGGAGGTCAAATAATACACTAAAGTATTGGCTTGGGGTTGAAACAAGTGTCCTTTGTAGAGAGGTCGTCCCTATCTCGGAGGTCAAATAATACACTAAAGTATTAGCATGGGGTTGAAACAAGTGTCCTTTGTAGAGAGGTCGTCCCTATCTCGGAGGTCAAATAATACACTAAAGTGTTGGCTTGGGGTTGAAACAAGTGTCCTTTGTAGAGAGGTCGTCCCTATCTCGGAGGTCAAATAATACACTAAAGTGTTGGCTTGGGGTTGAAACAAGTGTCCTTTGTAGAGAGGTCGTCCCTATCTCGGAGGTCAAATAATACACTAAAGTATTAGCATGGGGTTGAAACAAGTGTCCCTTTGTAGAGAGGTCGTCCCTATCTCGGAGGTCAAATAATACACTAAAGTATTAGCATGGGGTTGAAACAAGTGTCCTTTGTAGAGAGGTCGTCCCTATCTCGGAGGTCAAATAATACACTAAAGTATTAGCATGGGGTTGAAACAAGTGTCCTTTGTAGAGAGGTCGTCCCTATCTCGGAGGTCAAATAATACACTAAAGTGTTGGCTTGGGGTTGAAACAAGTGTCCTTTGTAGAGAGGTCGTCCCTATCTCGGAGGTCAAATAATACACTAAAGTATTAGCATGGGGTTGAAACAAGTGTCCTTTGTAGAGAGGTCGTCCCCATCTCGGAGGTCAAATAATACACTAAAGTATTAGCATGGGGTTGAAACAAGTGTCCTTTGTAGAGAGGTCGTCCCTATCTCGGAGGGCCCCTTATCAGAGGTTCCACTGTATTTCACAGTGTATATTAATGTTCCTCTATCTGCAGGTCCTGACAACAGGCTGCGGTGAAGATGTGCAGACAAATGCCTGTAAGCTACTGGAGGTGGTCGTCATCCAATGCCAGGGAAGAATTGACGCTGTAAGTCACACCCAGTAGTAGACATTTTCACCACTAAACTCTGTTTGAACTCTGAAGGGCCAATGCAATTGAACTGCCTTTAACAGTGATGCGTCTTTTACTAAAGGTGTAAGACTATTTATTCTTAACGCTTAACCAGCCACGGACACATAAATGTGTCCCGAGCCTCCACAAGTCCATAAGAATTGGTATGGGGGTTACAATACTAGGCACTAATACTTTATACATCAATGTCTGCTTATTTAAGCAGATACCCATGGCATCTAAGGGTTTTAAGTGCCTGTAAGATGTTTGGCAATGCGAAGGTGTACGGTTAATGAAGCAAAATAGTGATAGGCTGAGTTGAATTTTTTATCATGGAGGAGTGTCTTGAGATTAGCCTGATAGGGTGGAGCCCTCAGAAAGGGGAACCCCCTCAGTGGTGGGTGTGGCAATGCTCCTGACCACTGCTATCCTGCTGGGGATGTTGGCGACGGGGGTTCCATTGAGGGTTGGGCACAGTTTTACCTATGTTCTTATAACGGTAGAGTAGTTCACCAGTCAGTGGTTTTGACAATTCTTCCTTCGTACTTTTTGTGATGGGTGACATTTTTCAGTGTAATTTTATTTTTTTTTAAATTTATATCAATACATTCCCAGTATCAAACTCTATCTGTGTGTGTATGTCTCGTGTACCCAGTATCCAAATTATCGGTCAGTTCTTCATGTAAGACTAACTTTTGAGTCACGAAATCTGCTGGTCAGCATTTTCATTGTTCTTAGCTCGTAACCCCATGTTCATAACCTATGGCATACTCGCATTGGTAACCACAACACAATTCGTGACTCAACTTAGTCTTATAGGCACGTACAAGGACGTTATCTGCTGTGGATGTCTATGCATGCATACAGTAATCAGTATCTCCAACTTATCTCATATGTGGTGTGTAGGGCTATATCGTGACTATCCGCCGTATCAAACTCTATCTGTGTGTGTATGTCTCGTGTACCCAGTATCCAAATTACATCGGTCGTGTCTTCATGGTAAGACTACCTTGTTGAGTCACGAAAGTCTGCGTGGTCAGCATCAGTTTTTCTTTAGCCTTTCGTGAGCTCGTACCCCATGATTCATAACTATGGCATACTATGCATTGGTACACAAACTAATTTCGTGACTCAAAACTTGACCTTAGTCTTAGTATGAAGTAACGAAGACACTTATCGGTGTGATGTCTATTGCATGCATACAGTACCCAGTATCCAAATTATCTCTGTGTGTGTATGTCTATATCAGTACATTCCCAGTATAATGGAGGTGTGTCTGGAGAGACTGACAAGAGAGAGCAAGACGGTTGACATGAGGAGAATGTGCCTACAAGTTGTGAGTCTAGCTACACTCTACGTTGTGTATGATATACATGTACCACATACTAGTAGTACGTTGTGTATATGTAGCATATATGTACCACATACTAGTAGTACGTTGTGTATAATATGTATGTACCACATACTAGTAGTACGTTGTGTATAATATGTATGTACCACGACTAGTAGTACGTTGTGTCATAATTGTATGTACCGACACCTAGTCTGTACTACTACGGTTTAGTGGGTGTATATATGTATGTGACTCACATACCGATAGTGTCGTTGTGTATACTATGTATGTACCACATCTACAGTAGTACGTTGTGTAACTAATATGTCATGTAGACCACATACTAGTAGTCGTTGTGTATAATATGTTGTACCCAGACTAGTAGTACGTTGTGTATAAGTATCCAGCTGTACCACATACTACTAGTACGTATTGTGTTTATATGTATATATGTACCGCGACATACTAGGTGACGTTGTGTAGACTATGTATGTACCACATACTAGTAGTACGTTGTGTATAATATGTATGTACCACAGACTAGTAGTACGTTGTGTATAATATGTATGTACCACATACTAGTAGTACGTTGTGTATAATATGTATGTACCACAGACTAGTAGTACGTTGTGTATATATGTATGTCCCAGCGACTCCTTGCTTATTGAGCTGTTTTGTATAATCTACGTACCCCTCTTTCTGTATGGTACGTTGCTTTTTGTATATGGATATTATGTCCACATACTAGTAGTACGTTGTGTATAATATGTATGTACCACATACTAGTAGTACGTTGTGTATAATATGTATGTACCACATACTAGTAGTACGTTGTGTATATGTATATATGTACCACATACTAGTAGTACGTTGTGTATAATATGTACTGTACCCATCCTAGTGAGTACGTTGTGTAGTAATCTGTGTATGTACCACATACTAGTAGTACGTTGTGTATATGTATATATGTACCACATACTAGTAGTACGTTGTGTATAATATACATGTACCACATACTAGTATACGTGTGTGATATAGGTTCGTGTACCACTATCTAGTAGTACGTGTGTGTATCATGTGTATGTACCACATACTAGTCGTACGTTGTGTATAATGTATTATGTACACACATACTAGTATGTAGCGTTGTGTATATATACATGTACCACATACGTTGTGTATAATATGTATGTACCACATACTAGTAGTACGTTGTGTATATGTATATATGTACCACAGACTAAAGTCTATTCGCGTTCACCTTGGCGGTAGGAAATCTGCCGTAATGTAGCTAAACAGCGACCTACTGCTTATCGAATTTAAAAGCGCAGCGTTGTTGTAGTTGAGCGTAGGTTCTATTTATCTGCTATGCGACGTTCCTTTGACCATGAAAAATGCAATCACGCGGGTCCAATGTGCAAGCGCAGCAGACCTCTCTCTCACCGCTACTGCGGGAGCCAGGCCAGGAAATGCAAGATGGAGGCGATGGCAGTGTGAGGTCACACAAAAACCGTCCTTTACTAGTAAAACGTCACGGAGCCACATGTAGAACGTCCATGGATGCGTGACATGCGTAGTATGATCACTGCCCATAACTTATGCGTAATTATGAGGGCAACCTTGCGTAACACTTGGTTTGACTATAATAGTGCACGTCAGGCGGCAAAGTGAATATGACACTAGCGTTGTGTATGTATTGTGTATGTACCACATACTATTAAGACTGGGTATGCTGTGGTATTGTATCTATGTACCACATACTAGTAATACGTTCGGTGTAGTAGTACCACATCCTAGTAGTACGTTGTGTATTATGTATATGATGTACCGCACATACACTATGTAGTACGTTGTGTATATGTATATATATGTACCACATACTAGTAGGTGAATGCAGGCCTTGTTGGCGAGCTGGAAAGAAGCCTGCACTGTATCTGCACGTATAGCATGCCTGACTTGAGGGGATTTCTAGCCTTTTTACAGCTGCACAGCCTGAACCACAAAGATCGAAAGAGGTGTATTATACATCAGGCTGAACGTTAATTTCAGGTTTGCTCCTCCTCTTTTTCTTAACCCTTATCCATCTCAGACCATGTGTCCACCAGGACCTCCATACGTACGTATACATGTTGAGGGGTTAAAATACTAAGCTATAAAAAAATTCTGCTTATTTAATCAGATACAGATGGCGGCAAAAGGTCAGTGCACTATAGCCTCGTTCCAGGCCCTCTCTCTCTCTCCTGTGCACAATTTATGCTTATTACCTTTGACACACTCTGCTTCCTCGCCACGTCGTAGGGCATCATGGGAAGATGGCTAGTGCCCCACTTGATCAATTTACAAGTATATCCCCTGCGATTTAAACAAAAGAGGCATTAGGAGGGATGGGATTAATTAAGTTACTAAGTTACTGCCAACTTATGATCTGCCCTCCACATCAATGCAGCTTTTACTGCAACTCCATCCAGTTATGGGGCTCTGGAGACCACACAGATTCCCGCCAGTCCAAGCCCATCACCCAGTCAGTTCTTCAGACAGTGGATCAACGATGCTGGCCTCTTTGAGGGGTGAGCGGCTGACACACCCACTGTAGGCAGTTAATCAGATGCTGCTACATACCTACAGTAGTACAGTATAATATCCTAAGCATCCATACGTACTTGCATGTCGAAGCTTTAGGAATTTTTCTAACTACAATTTTTAAAGGACATGGTTGTTTTTTTACCTTTTCTTTGACGTGACCTCATTAATGTTGATGGCAAATGTACCTAGCCTATAGTGTACGTTTGCAGTTGCTGCCACTGATTTTCTAACCCCTAGTTTCTTTCTATCTGTCTCACTTGTTGTAATATTCGTTTTTTTTTCTTTTTCTGTGCTGGTTTGAAAACAGGAGGAATTTACCCCAATTATCTCGTCAAAAATCACATTTTGACCTTACCCTTTTTAAAAATTATAATCACCCTCCTCACCACTTGATCTTTCTTCCACAATCCCATAACTTCTTCACTCCTATATAATGACTGTAGTGTTACTCAACTGTCAGAAAATGCTGTCGTACAAATCGATTGTTTACCCATACTATGAGTGGAGGGATTACTACGTACCTGTGGCAGCATTATAACAACGGGGTGCTCCGCCCGGATTGAGAAATCCGAAATGGCGTGTACGATTATTGCGCATGCAACTAAAACTGTGCTCAGTAATGCGCTGCTTAGAGAGTAGCGCTTAGGCCAGTAGGGGATTTCCCAACAGGAAGTACTTTGAAACGTGAGTAGCTTTCAGCCTGAAAGCTGAAGTAATTAATAATTCATAAGCACCCTGTTCGAATATTACCCTGCGGGAAACACTAATGTGTCGCCTCCACCTCTCTTTCCCCACAGTATCCACGATAGAAAGATATCATATTTTGACCATACTCTTTCTTTTTTATTATCACCACTTGATCTTATTTACCTGTTTGTTCCATGTTCTATCCCTCCACCTCCACAGTATCCACGACAGAAGATCTCAGTACTGGGATTCTGTGCGGTCATGCAGTCTCACCTGAGACAGAGGCTGTCATAGCCGTGCTAAAGAGATTGTGCCTGCTGTTCTAGTCCAACTCGACGGCCTCAAGGACTCTTATCAGAGTATGTGTCTCATTAACCCTCGGCGCGCATGCGCAGCGAGGGTTACAGTAGTTGGTTTGTCTGTCTGCGTGTCAACGCTTTATCTGCACTACGAGGCGGCTATTAGCGATACCAATGGCTTCAGAACTATACCAACCTGTAAAATTAAACAGCGATTTTCCTGAAACGACTGCGTTCGAGGGATATGCCGTGAAAACAAGCGAAAAATCATAATCGCGCTGAGTAACCTGTCTGTATACTATCTCCAGAGCTGGCAGCAGAGGAGGCCGATGATGGAGGAGAGGAGAGGAGGAGGAGGAGGACGGAGAAATGGCTGAAGATGGTGAAGGTACATTAGTAAAGTTGGGTCAAGCATAGAAAATGTTGGAGCGTAACACAGCAAAACGTGGTTCTTAGTCTTCTTCGGGTATATATGTTGTATAATAAAGTATCAGGTATATACATAGAATGCTCAAGAGGGGGGCCTCCATGTATATATTATGTGTCCTTAATTATAATTGGCATGCGAAGCGAGCTAGTTATTTACATTTATGTAATGAGGCACTACTGCACATACCATACGTGATGCGTGAAAATTGAACGCTATTCAAAAACGCACGAAAAATTGAACTGCTTACACTCCCTCGCGTGGCATTTGTTCTAGTTGGCCAACTAGATGGTTGATAATGATGATGAGTATTAATATTCTCGTGAGTGTACTACTAGTTTAGTAAGCGGGGTCCGTCCTATGTCTTTACGTACCAGTCTTGTGCGGTCTGCAGCGGTACAGGAAATAGACTAGCCTCCTCCCCAGGCACCACCCGCGAGGAGAGGGCCTGGTATCCACTGCTTGCGCATGCGCGTAATTTTCTACGTGGGTGTAGCGCAACTACGTACGTCAAGACCAAATTCGATAAAAAGTAATTACATAGAATAAGGATCCGTAACAAACGTGATTATCAAAATATAGTGCTCCTGTGTGGTGTCGCAGTCCGATCCTGCTCATCTTGTGGTCCATCACGAACGGTAAACCAAAACCTCGTAGCAGAGAGTTGTTTCCAAACCGGTGGGCAGCACACAAAGACATCTCTACTCTTTCTTTGCTCGGTCTTTGGGTGTGCTTGGAGTTCCAAGCTTGCGTATTGAGAGCGCGATCGAACTCGCATTTGTTGGGCGGTGCCGCTGTAATTTGAGCTACTGGACTGACCCACCCACTCTCCTCGGTGACGTTAGCGTCAACTGAATATACGGAAAATTACACGGTTTATCGACATTCGATAAAATACCGCCATGCGCAAGAAGTGGTATACCAGGCCCTCTCCTCGCGGGTGGTGGGCCTGGGACGATGCTAGAAAGAGACTGGCTTACATTTCGATTCAAGACCCGACTGCCTGGTCTTAAGGATCCTGGAAATTTAGTCAGTATTTCCATACAAAATTCCAGACCACACTAGACTGATTACCACAATATCGAGACCCGACCTGTTTACTGACCCTTCTTCCCTCTGTTGTATGTGTGGCTCGAAAATGAACTGGATGATGAGAGGCTTGGATCCCCATGAGCCCATCCAATCCAACACTAGCTATGAAGGTGCCACGATGATGTTATGCACTCTGCTATGAACATACCAGCTGCGAGAAATTGAATGTTTTGTAAATGAGCCATCTCGATCTAGGTCAGAATATGGCGCCTTGCCCTTCGTGCCTGCCGCTCACGTCCTATACTACCCCGCATAGATAGAATGGAATCTTCCTGGCGGCACGGCACGGCGGGGCCCTGCGACATTTGTGAACCTAGCCCTACGGACGCTGTTCCGTCCAGCTGGGAGGGGGCGGAGGAGGAGGAGAAAGTGAGTCAGACGACTCGGAGAGGCCCAGACTCTTACCGAGATAGACTGATGCAGACAGTCATTGTGACGATGACGTCGTGACCGAGTTCTTGCTCTTCAAAACACCTCCACAGTGAGACTGCTGTATACATACGTTCGTCCTGCGTATGGAACGAGCTAACCTGATCCTGATACGCTCCGGCATCGAGTACACCTCTCCTCTAAAGACACTTGGTTCTTCTCCGCTATAGCTACTGTCCTTTAATATCCCGTAAGTATCGATTGGCATGGGGATTGAATCGAGTGTCCCTTGTAGAGAGGTCGTCACTATCTTGACTAATACCACACAAAGTACTTTGATGGTCATGGGTCTTTAATCAACATGCCCCTTGTAGAAGAGTCGTTCACTATCTCGGAGGTCAAATAAATTAAAAAATACACTAAGTATTAGCATGTTTCACAAGTAGTCCTTGGTAGAGATGGTCGTCCCTAGTAAGAAGCGTCCCTTATCGGCGGTTCCACCGTGTCACGATATTCTCTCACGCAGCCCCGCAGCTCTGCTGGGCTGCAGCAGGATCCAGAGTGGTACTCTCTACTGACCAGTCGTCGTGTCTCCGAGCAGACTGTTCAGGTCCAGAGTTTCCTCGCCATTGCCCGACACGAGAGTCGCTGCCATACGTAATACACATTTCTCTCTTCCTTACACACAGTGTCTTTTGGGGCGGGTCTTTCGGAGATTCGGAGGTGCCTCATCCATGCTCTGCCCAACACGGTTTTAGTGACATGTTAGCATGTGCTTGGAGGACCTGGGACCAAGGCAAGTAATTTGTGCTTGAATGAATGCAAATGGGTAGGGTACAAATTAATAAAAACAATCGTGCTGACACTATCTTCACTTAATGTAGAACCTTTGTTCAGGGGGACAAATGATCGGAAGGTGCCAGATTCTTCCTTGTACTCATAAGAAGCCCCGTACGTCTCTGTGTAGCTAATTCCTGTGTGGAACTCCGCATGGTTCCCTTATTCTCTAGGCGGCATGTTACTCTTATTCTCTAGGCCCGCATGGTTACGCTTATTCTCTAGGCCCTGCAGTGGTTATACTTTTCTCGATTCTCTGCCTACCTGGTCCCCAACCCCCCAACCATAAAAAAACCTTATTCTCTAGGCCTGCATGGTTTATCTCATTAACCCTCGGCGCGAGATTTTGGCGCGCGCGCGGTATGTATTTGGGTGTTCTGGTGTGTGTGTTGTGTGTGTGCGTGTTTTACTCTACATCTCACTTCTCAGTGTTTGTTCGTCTCACAAACATACTACATACGTAACGTGCAGAAGGTCAGAAAGTACGTGGTTTCTCTGAAAATGCTCCGGTTGCAAAGCTAGAGCACGAAAACGCTCATATGCAATACGCAAGGACGGAGTGGCTTACCGCGGTCGTCGCCATGCGTACTCCGAGGCTCCAAAAGATGCAACGCCTGGCGTGATCGCTTCTTCTCGCATGCATCTAGTGTTAGTTATCCCCGCGTCAACTCGCCCTAGCTGGGCAAGAAATAACACCACTGTAACAGCTAAAACTATCTAAACCCGTCCCATCAATTAGTGGTAGGCCATGCGTTCACTACTCGTCGCGCACCGTGCGCCGAGGGTTTGGCACGTCATGCTTTTCATTCTCTATTTGTTCATGTGTTGCAGGGTCTCGGCCATAGAGCAGATGGGAGGCTACCAGTTTCAACATCAGTTGTACCAAGCATTGCATTCGGATCCGAAGTTCTACCTTCTACTCATTGGTGGACATTCCTTTGCATTTTTTTTTGATTTTTTATATATACCCCGGGTCTAATATATTCTGTCCACATGTTCTGTTTTGTGCTTTTGTATTATAATTATTTTGTGCTTGCAGTAGTTTCAAGGGTATATACGGGAGTGTTTTTTTTTTTTTTTGTTGGGCTTGTACGTGGAACGATTAACGAGCCAAAGGAATTTTCATATTTACGCCAACTTTCAATCTACCCATGCAATCTGTTGCGCATGCACACAACCAAAAGGGGTGTAGCTGTTTAGCTAGGGACGGACGGGCGATTCCTGTAACTTTACATCCACCAGGAGAAATCGTAGTTCTTGTTAAGCTTGTGGGTCCAATTATGATTTTAAATTGTGCCTATTAATGATAATCCAAATTACTGCCCATTATTATTTTTCCCATATTCTGTCTAAAAAAAACCATGTAAAAGGGAGGGAACAATAATAACGTCAGAGAAGGGATGGGAGGGGGGGCTTCTTTCGCCTCTCTCTCCTCCCCGTAGGGGGTGCCGAGAGCCCGCGATCTTATTGATCGCTGGCCGAAAGCGGGAGAAGGAGACGCGTCGCGGGCCCACGTGGGAAGCCGGGAAAGGGGGGGGAGAGCAGAGAGAGAGGTCGAGCGCGAGCGAGGGAAACGGCAAGGCCACAGGGGAAACGGCGCCCTTTTCTCTGACAGACGGTCGGGAGAAGAATCTCCTTTCCCCATGTCCATCTTCTCTTCCCCTCCCGTCTGCCATCTCTTTAGAAAGGGGTGTGGTAAGATGTTTTCGTGGGGTAGGAGGGGGGTGTGTGAGGTGGGAGAGCTGGGAGTTGTGAGAGAGAGATGAGGGTTGGTGGGGGTAGGGAGGGTAAGTGGATTGGGGAGCGGGTGCGGTGGGAGGGGGTAGTGGAAGGTAAGGGGGTTTATCGGGGTGGGGGGGGGGGTGGTCGGATAAGCGCTCAGATCCGCATCACGCCGGATCCGCGAAACGGTCGACCGATCTATTCCCAGTCGCCGGCCGATTTCGGCGTTGTTAGATATACCGTCCGCGACCAGCGCCAGGACCTGCTCTTCACGGAGCGTGGCCAACGACTGCTGTGTCTCCCTGCCCCTTTCCCCACGGCGTGCCTGTTCCTCGCAGAAGTCGTCGTACGTCGGCCGCAACGCCGGTTGACCAGTCCACTCGGCAATAACATCACGCACCGCGGTCAACACGGTATCCGTTGGGATGTCCGTTGGCCGGCAGTCCAAACCCCGATCACGCCCCTGCTGCACCGCCCGCCGGTGGACAACCTCGGTAATGCCCCACTCCGGCCCATCGGCTACGAAAGCATCCCAGTCATAATCCCTACGCCGGCATTCCCTCCGGACCTGAGCCTGCACCAGCTCACGAAGCACACCGTAGGGAACCGCAGAGACGGACACGTCGTCCAGCACATCATCTGCAGCGACCTGGGCAGACAAGGAACGACCCCCACGGGGTTCACCGCGAGGGTCGTCCAAGTTGCCTGATGATGACCTAACTATCGGACTGCCGGCGACCGATGCTTGCCGATGATCACTAGATTCTAGCTGGCTGCCCGTGTCGCCACGAGCCACCAACGACTCCATATGTTGCATGAGGAAATCCTGCCGGATGGTAAATCCGGTATTCAGATACTGTTTTATAGCACAGCCATTCCGTCCTCGGTCAACGCCGGCGCAAACCATTTTCACGCGAATTATGGTCAACCAAGAGGTCAGTCGACCCAGCTGCAGTAGATTTACATAAACTGCTCCACCAAAATGCCCGCAGACAACCTGGCAGCCCGGAACATAGTCAACAGAAAGGGCCGGTGAAAACCGGCCCGGTTAAAAGCCGAACCGCGCCCTTAACGTGTGGGGTACCAAGCCCACACAGGCGCGGAGCGGTTCCTCATGAAACACACCTAACGGTGTTTTCCGTGCGTCTGATTATCGCCCTAGCGTGCCTGACTGTCAATAAACCGGCTCGCATTTTCAGACGGCTTACGCCGCCGAGTTCCTTAACCGCAAAGAAACCAATTTTATCTACGCCCACAGGCTAGGACCTCGGCCGTGAAATCGCAGGATTTCGCAGCGCCATCCCGTGAGCCGGCAATTTTCTCATCATGTCATCAAATGCTTATATGAGCATTTGATGACATGATGCGCGTCCAATCTCGCCGGAGCAACACCTCGACCAGCCGGCGCAACAACAACGACTCCACCAAGTCCGTCCCCGCGAAATAGCCCAGATCCGCACCGGCATCTCTTCATCCAACACCGACGATCATCGTATCATTTGCTCACTTCATCACTTGCTCACTTCATCACTTGCTCATATCGTCATTTGCTGATTCGATCATGTGATTACATGATGCTGGCTCAACCACGCCGGAGCAAAGCCATGACCGTCGTCGCGATCGTAAACCAGAAGGGCGGAGTCGGAAAGACCACCCTGGCCACCAACCTGGCCTGGTCCCTGGCCCAGACCGCATCCGTGCTGCTCCTGGACGCCGATCCCCAGGGCAGCGCCCGTGACTGGGGCCACTTCAACACCAGCAGACCCGAGAACCTGTCGGTACTGGGCGTCGGCCGCGATCCACTGGTCGACCAAAGTCCGCCGACTGTCCAGCCGCTACGACTGGCTTATCCTCGATTGCCCTCCCGGCGTCAGCAACACCAGCGCCGACGCCGTGCGGGTCGCAGACGTGGTGCTGATCCCAGCCAAGGCCAGCGCCTTCGACGTCTGGGCCGCCACCGACATCGTGGCAGCCGTGAAGGCGCGTCAGCAGTCGAGCAACGGCATCCCCAGAGCCGCCTTCGTGATCACCATGGCCAAGCCCCGTACCATCCTCGGCCGGCAGATCGACGCTGCCCTTGCCGAGCTTGGACTACCGGTGCTGAACAGCAGGACCTCCGACCGGGTGGCTTACACCCATGCCGGCAACGAAGGAACCTCAGTGATAGAAGGACCCGACAGCACCGCCCGCGATGAAATCCTCGCCATACGCCGTGAATTGGAGCAGTTGACCCCATGAGCATCAATAGCAGGCCCCAACGCGATGACCAGCAGGACCACAACGACTTCCTGAGCCGAGCCACCGCCGAGGACACCGCCAAAATACAATGCTGGATACCCGCCGAGCTGCACCAGTGGCTCAAGGCGAAGGCGGTCGAGGGGCGCACCAACATGACAGTCCTCCTCATCCAGGCCCTCGAGAACTACCGACGCGAGCGCGGATGACGTGGTCTACCTCATCGTGGCCGGTAATTTCTACCTGACGCCTGGAGATTGAAACGCCGCTATTGGCGGTAAGCCATGGCCAAGTGTGTATTTTCCGACAGTTAAACGCTAAACAACGTTCTACGCTGAGGCTGTTGCCTGCGATGCAACCTGCGTGAGCAAGCCACGCAGGAAGGGGCTGTCTCCCAAAGCCCGCAGGAAGGCTATCGTGCCCTGAACTCCTCAGGACTTCGCCGCCGTCCCAGGGACAACGGGATGAAAACAAGGCGCAGCGGCCTCGCAGGCGCCGCCCTGGACATCGCCGGCACACCTGAATATCCATCAGGCGGTCCAACCTGGTATCCCAACAATGCCCACCGCCCGAGCAGTTCCGCCTGAACCTCGACGAACACGCCACCGCCGACTTGGTAGCCCCAGCCTTCCAAAACCCAGGCACACCCGTCGCCATCGTCCGCGAGACCACTGGAACCCACGTGGGCTATGCCCTCACCCAGTTAGACGCTAACCGGTAGCATCGGTTTCAAGCATTTGAACCTCGCCGGCGCGGTTGGTACGGCGGCGTCTGCGCAACAGCAGAGCAACTACGGCGGCGGAGACTCCGACCATGACGACGGCGAGCACGACGGCGATTATCCAAACGTCGGCCAGGGTTTTCAGAGGACACTGACACCGACAAGCGGGCGCTGGGAGCATCGACGGCCGGATTTTGACCGGCCGCGTTGTATTCCCAATAATCGATTTCGCCCAAACCGGCGCCGAAGTCCATGATGGTGCGCAGGTCGGATGCCTTGACCACCAATTCCATGCTGACGCGCTGGCGTTCATCGCGACGCGATTCATTCCACTGCTCGACGAACCCGCCCTGGGAAACCGCTTGGTCTCGAATTTGTTCGGCCACGTCCATAGGCTGGGCCGCCGACAGGGACAACGATGCGCCCAGGTCGACGTTGGAACGGATGCCCAGCGTGAGACGGGCGTCGGGAACGTCGTTGATTGCGGACGGGCCGACGGAGTTCAACTGCCTTCCCGATGGGGATCCCAAGGTCGCCGCATAGTCCATGAGTTGTGCCAAGTCGGCGGATTTGACGAAGACGACCATGTCCACGACCCTGCTACGATCCTCTTCATATTCCCGTTTTTGACCCACGTAACCACGCAGCGAAGCAACGCGGACCGTTATGGCGTCGGCGGTTGCGGACGGGTCGCCGACCGACAGGTGGAGCACACCGTGGGGAGGATCGGCCGCGAACCGGGCCGGTAGGCGCAGGTTGACGGTGATGAGGGAAGTCGCCACGCGATTGGTAAGGTTACGCTGGGTGGCTTCAACACGCTCGATGTCGGAGCGGACCTGAGCAATGCGTTGCTCGATCTGGATGATGTCCTCGACAGTGGGGGCGTTTTCCAGCAATGTGACCAGGCGTGCTTCCTGGGCGTGCCAGGCGGACAGGCGTGCCTCGTTGTCGATGAGCCGTTCCGTAACGTCGGTGGAGGACACTCCCTCATCGGTGACCCGGCCCAGGCCACGAAGAGTGTCCAGAACATTGTCCAAGTGGTCGGCAGGCACGCGAAGTTGGACGGAAGCGGAGCGGTAGCCGGCTTCACCGTATATCTCAGCCGATTCGACCCATCCGCCCCGTTGGGCGGCTATCGTTTCAACATGGCGAACCGCAGCGTCGATGTCGTCTACTTCAAGGCCGACCCAGGATTCCACGATGAGTTGGCGGGCGGACTGGTTCAGCGAGGAGTCGGACACCGAGGCTCCTTCCAGTTCCCCAGAGGTGGGCACGGCCTGTGGCTGAGCGGCCACGGCCGTTGGCACGGCCTGTGGCTGAGCGGGCACGACCGTTGGCGCAGCGGCAGCGTACGGGGCCCTGGTGGCCGCCGGCGCATATCCCTGGACTCCCGATCGTCTCTGGGACCAGGGGCGCCTGCTTGCCCTTTGGCGCCTGCCGACCCTTGACCGAGTAGGCGGCCCTGGCCACTGGCAGACTGATCGCTGGAGGAACTGTCCGCAGTGGTTTCATCCGCGGACCCTCCGCAGCTAAGGGCCATCACCATCAGCCCGACTACCAGTACGACGACCGGCGAACCTCTGCGGATATTGTGAGTTGTCATGGCGTGGTTCTCCGTTGGTTTGCCCTATGGTACGTAACCGGACGTCGACCGGTTTTCTCGAATGCGCTGTTGGAGTGGCGCAATCCAACTATAGTCGGGGTGTAGCTCAGTGGCTAACGCGCAACGTTCGGGACCTGGAGGTCGGTGGTTCTAATCCACCCCCACCTGACGGTGCACGGCCCTTGAAGACGTCGCAGACCAACGAAGATACCAGCCCCCGCCACTACCGGCGTTCAACAGGCCCCTGGGACGCTCTCAAGTACCAAAGGGCAGGAAACCAGCACTCCAAGGGCTCTAAAACGCACCCAAGGCTGTCTTCGGCGGAAACTCAGCCCTCCTGCGACGCCGGCCGCCACCGACCAACGGGGCGGCCGGTTCTGTAGTGCAGCCACAACTGCCTGCGTTCAAATGCCCCTGACACGCCCTGAATAACAAAAGGGCAGGGGAAGACACCCGAGGCCGTAAAACGCGCCCAAGGCCGTCTCCTGCGGCAATTCGGCACTCTACGGCAATGGCCGACACCGGCGAACGGTACGACCGTTGTGAGGGTTGCAGACTCCCTCAAAAGACAACCGCGAAACTCACTCGATGATAGAATCACCAAGTGAGCCAGCGTCCTGCCCTGCACCCCATCTCCCTGCGGTACCAGGTACGGATCAGCAAGCAGGGCGACCGAGAAATAGAACGGCTACTACCGTTGCTGGGCGAACTCCAGAACGTAACCGGGTTCTTCAGCGGACCTTGCTGCTTTTCACAAGAACGCGAATTTAGTTTCGCAATGTTCTGAGGTATGGGATGAATTTGACATTGAAACGCGCATTGCGAAATGGCCTGACACTGGCCCTGTTGGTATGCTTGGCTGGGTCCGTCATTGCGTGCGGCAACGGTGGTGACGATCAGGCCCCAGAGCCCGACCTAGATGCCACGATCGTGGCCGCGACTGTCAAAACGATCCTGGACTCGAGAGCAACCACGGAGGCGGAACAACCGCCCACCGCCACGCCGGTAGCCACGCCCGAACCTAGTCCCACGCCGACCGCGGTTCCGATGGTTGCTCCAACCCAAGCTTCCACCCAACAGGCCGGGGGTACAGGTACCGATGGCGGTGATCCCCAGAGCACTGAACGGCTCGCGCCGTTGGCTCCCGAAGACGCCGATGCGTTCCTGGCTGACGTGTCAGATTCAGAGAGAATGTGCCTGTCGGACAACATCCCATCTGACCGAATGGTGACGCTGGCAACGACACCCGAACTGGCCAGCGAAGGAGAACGCGAAGCCTTCATCGAGTGTCTGGAACACGAAACCCTGCTACGGCTGTTGCTCACGCCGGTGTTGAACGCTACCGGTCCGTTGAGCGTCGAATCCTCGGCGTGTATGCACAGCAGCTACGTGGACACGGACCTTGCCGCGTTGATGTCCGGCGTGACTGCTGAACCCACCGGTCCAGAAGCGGAAGCCGCGATGGCCCAGGGGATGGTAATGTTTTTCGTGTCGTTATCATGCCTGAATGAGGCAGAATTCCAGACTGCCAGCGTCACTATGGGGTTTGCACCCGGAGAACGCGAAAACTTCCTGTGCGTGCTTGACGAAGTGGGCGGGCAGGCCGCGTTGGCCGCGTTGTTAGTTCCTTCCGATGAATTCCCGGCCGAACTGTTCGAGGCGGCGTTCAGTTGCCAGTTTCAGATGGGCGGCCCGCCGCCAGGTTAGGAACGGCAGACGCGACCTGCTCGGCCGCCGATGTACGTCGTTCGGAACCGCCGGCGACCACTACGCCGGCGCCATGATTCACACCGTAGGCGACGCCGGCCGCTATCTGGTGGTCGCTGTCGCTCCAGACCCGCTGCGCCGGCTTTACGCCGGCGACCTCGACCTCAGGACCCCTGCTGTTGGAGTCCTCCGTCGACGGCTGGTACACCGCACTGGTGGACCACGATTTCGAACGACCGGTGTCCCTCGAGTCGCAGCAGGGTCCACTCCTTGAGATGGACTACCTGCCCGAAGCCAGTTTTCGTCTCAGGGGACGGCCGGCAGAAGACTTAATGCCCGCCAACCCAGCCGACGATTAGTACCGGCGAAACGGACTGCAACTCGCCGCGTCAGACGGGCGGCATTCCCCGACCATACCTTCCAGAACGCCACTAAATGCCAGAGCCTATGACCTGTCGGTCGACGCCAGCCGCTCCAAGATGAAATCCAGCCAAGCACCAGAGCGTAAAAGGCAAGAAAAATGCCCTACTTTCGAAGACTAGCCACAACCGCGACCATAGTCCTCATCGTGGTCGTTGCTACTGCATCCTGCCAGCCCGAGGCGTCGGAAACTCCGCATCCAGCAGCCACGCGCCCGTCAACGTATGAACCCGCCGCAACGACGGAGACGTCTCCGCCGGAGCCAGTTACACAAAGGGCACGGACTCAATCACCAGCACCGGGGAGCCCAAGTACAGCAGCACCCCCTGGAACCCCTGCGCCAACCAAAGGGGCGGAGACCCCCACGCAAGGCGGGATGTGGCACATCACTGCAGATGAGGCCGTCTGTATCCAACCCCTATTGCCTTACAAGTACTTGCTCATGCCGGAAGAGGCCGCAAGCATCCGGGACTGCACCTCAAAAGACAGCATCAGGCTGATCACCTACATCACGGCAGACACTTGGCCTTCGCGGAACCGCGACATTCCCAC